CATATGTGGAACTTGAGAAACTTAACAGAAGATCATGGGGGAAGAGAAGGGGAAAAAATAGTTACAGAGAGAGAGGGAGGCAAACCATAAGAGACACTTAAATACAGAGAACAAACTGAGGTTTGGTGGGGGGGGAGGGGGGAAAATGGGCGATGGGCATTGAGGAGGGCACTTGTTGGGATGAGCACTGGGTGTTGTATGTAAGCGTTGAATCATGGGAATCTACCCCCAAAACCAAGAGCACACTGTACATACTATATGTTAGCCAACTTGACAATAAATTATATTAAAATATTAAAATAAAAATAAAGTTTATTAAAATCAATTTTAAAAAGATAGTACTTTAGACTGTCAGTTAAGAAGGCACTGTGGGGGCGCCTGGGTGGCTCAGTCGGTTAAGCGGCCGACTTCGGCTCAGGTCACAATCTCACGGTCCGTGAGTTCGAGCCCCATGTCAGGCTCTGTGCTGACAGCTCGGAGCCTGGAGCCTGTTTCAGATTCTGTCTCCCTCTCTCTGACCCTCCCCCGTTCATGCTCTGTCTCTCTCTGTCTCAAAAATAAATAAACGTTAAAAAAAAATTTTTAAAAGGAAGGCACTGTGGAGTGGGAGAATGAGACAGAGAAGAAATCTGAGAACTATGTGCTAGTCTCAAATCTGCCACAATCCAGTCATGTGACTTAGGACAAATTTTCTTCATTTTTGTGAACCATATTTTGTCTACCTGTACATAAAAAGTAGATTTCAGTAGGTCTTAACCTTTTTTGGGTTACTCCCCCTCCAGGCTACCCTCCACAACAGGGTTATCTTCCTAAAAATACAAAAGCTGGTTATATTATTCCCATATTTTAAACTTCCTTTACCTGCCCCTCCTCCAGGATAAAAAAAAGTCCAATTCTTTATTAGGACATATACAGATCCCTCATAATTTGACCCTTCTGGTCACACTATTCTTATTTCCTTTCATTTTAGCCACAGTTCTATACAAGTGCTTCCCAAAGTGCAATCTAAGGACCACCTGTATCAAGTACTTGTGATGAAAGCAAACTTTGCCCCAAATAAAGTTAGGATCTCAGGCAATGGATGTAAGAAACTACATTTTCATGAGATCTCCAGGCAATTCTGCCTCACGTAGTATTTGAAAACCCCTGCCCTACATTTTAGCCAAACTGAACTTTCCCCCACTCCCCTGCCTGGAATGTCCTTCACTGCCTTATCCATATGGTAACATCTGCTATTTACCTCAAATGTCACCTGCGCTATGAAGACTTTGGCCAATCCCCTAGGTAACTGGCTGTTGTTCCCTTCTCTGCGCTTCTAGCACTTTGTTCATCTTTTATATAGTACTTAGTACCTACTATAATTATCTACTTACATGTCTGTTTCTCATCCTATAATGTGAGCTTGAAAATAGAGACTATGTCTTAACTTGTTTTTATACTCCCAACATCTAGGACGTAATAGGCATACAATAAATGTTTGTTGAATAAATGAATGAACGGATAAAAATGAAGAGCTAAACTATTCATTCCACAAAAATTTGAGTGCCTACAATGCCTAAGCACTGTTCTAGTACAAGAAAATCACCAGAACTTTTTGCCTATAAGAAAATTAGAACCCTGCACACAGTGTTCTATTTTAAGCCTCTTTTAACATTTTATCTGTAGAAACTTCCAAATGAGCCACTTGTTTATTTATTCATGCTTAGGAAAGAACAATTTGCCTGATGTTTAAGTGAGTAACACAACAGCTCAGACCCTGGAGCCTGCTTCAGATTCTGTGTCTTCTCTCTCTCTCTCTTCCCCCTCCCGCACTCGCACTCTGTCTCTCTCTCTCAAAAATAAATTTTTTTAAAAAATTTTAAAAATGAGTAGCATTATGACAAGTGGCAGTGGAAAAACACAATGCACTTAGTCTATTTCCATAAATGTGCTTGAAGAGTCTAGACTCAATTTCACAGTAACCCTCTCTTTATCACCTTCTGGAGAATGTAACTTAAAGAGCTGGCAAAGGAGAAAGTAGTAAATGAAGACAAAGCCAAAGTGATTCTGCCAATAAATACTTTAATGAGAACCGAGGTCTGTAACATACATAGCAGTAACTGCCCTGGCCTATGCCTTCTGCTCTAGCTCAAGTTTGGGGCTAACCAACTACATTTAACCCACATTTGAAAAGAAGGCCATTTTGATGTCATCTATCAGTATCCATCTTCATAGAAGATACCAATCTGGGGCCAGAGTCTCAACGTTAACACTTCCTCTCACGGAAAAGTTAACATGGTAACACAAACACACGAACAATTTTGAAGCATCCTGTAGTTCTTCCATCAGGAGGCCCTTGGGAGACCAATGGTTCAGTAAACACTTACAACTTTGTCAAAATACATTAGAACACAGAAAAAGGGAAAAAAGTAGAAACGCTGGCAGGGGTTGGCTCACGTATAATTCAGTTCTTAGATTTGAAGCCTCTTGAGCTGCTCATATGTAATAAAAAACTGAGGAGTAAGTCATGGAAGATCATTGGGTTGACAATGAAAGCTAAACCTAGTTCTAAAATTGTGTATTGCATTCTCTTACACTGAGGTAGTCTATCTCAGATTCTGAGTTGTACTTGCTTAAGACTTTTTAAAAACAATACCTGGCAAATCAAGCATGCATTGAGTACCCACCACGTACCCCTTATGATTTGGCATTTAGCAATAAAAACAGATTAGAACTCTAACATACTTATAGTCTTCAGTGGCCAACAGGCCACACACACTCTCTCACACACACCCAAGAACATTAATGACAACATATATATTATTCAATGCTAAGAGTAACTGTCACTCTTAGGTGATCAGATCAATCCCAAGGAGAGAGAGGCATACTCCCTCTCTCAACCTATAGATTCCACAAGGGCAAGGAATTACTTTTGAACCCTGCAACGCTCACCACTATACACACAAACTGTATACAACATTCAATTCTCTCTGCACAAAGGAGGCACTCAAACACAGCTAAAGAAAGAAGAGCCATCCGTGAGGAAAGAGACCTACTTGGCCTGGATTCCTTCACCCTATGAGTGTTTTCTGTCTTATTATTTCTCCAGTTGCTCTGGTCCTATAGTTAGGAGTAGGAAATCTGGACCACCTCAGCATGTACTTTCCTGTGGGCAAATCCCAACAGGGTTTCCAAAAACTTCATAACCCCTTCCAGATTTGTTTGTACTTGTTTTGTTTTAAAGAGGACACTTTGGTACATCTTTTCTACTGCCTTTAGTTTGTACTAGACTCCAACTAAAAGCCATTTCTCTACTTAGTTCTATCCTCAATGGTCACCATTAGAATGCTTGAGTTTCTCACTTGCCTAAAGGTGTCAATAACCAAATTTTCCTTCCCATAGTAAAAAATTACCTGGGAGCTTAAAGCATCTGCTTTCATTCTCATATTCTAAAAGGATACAATGATGTTCCAGGGTCCAAGTCGAAGCCAGTTTGGCCAAAATCCTTTATAGAGTGCAAAAAATCCCTCATGTTTCCACATCTGAGGGAAAGATATAATCAAAAATAGAGTGAATTCCCCTTACTATTTACATCTGACAATTACTTTTATTTTTAGTACTCATCTTCCATGTCCCTCCCCAACAACTTATGGCTCCATTAATGCTGTTTTTCTAAAGCCATACATTTTGAATTCATATACAGTCTAAATCTACCCACTCATTCAACAAATATTTAAGCACCTTGCCTATGCAAGGTACTCTTCTTGATGCTGGGATAATAGGAATAACAGTAAACGAGAGAGAAGGTGTCTGTGGTAGCCAGCCTCCAATATGACCCCAATGAAAGCCACCACTAGTTATTCATATCCTTGTGTAACCCCTCTCACAACATACCAGGAGAGGTCTAGGTCACCAAGAAAATACAGCAGTAGTCTGTCACCTCCATTATGTTATAAAAGATGTTTTAGATCTAAAAGGCTTCTGCTTCTGTCTTCTTCTCTCTTGAATTGTTCACTATAGAGAAAGTTAGCTGTCACGTCATGAGAGGCCCAGAAGGGGAGAAACTAAGGCTTCCAGCCAACTTCCAGAGAAGAACACAGGTTTAGTAGCCAACAGCTAATAATTCCTGCTAATAGCCACATGAGTGATCTTTGAAGCAGATATCCCAGCTCCAGTCTAGCCTTCAGATATGGCTGTAGCTCTAGCTGACATCTGACTACAACCTCACAAGAGAATATAAGCTGAAATCACTAAGCTAAGTTGTTTCTGAATTCCAGACCCACAGAAACTGCGTGATCACAAATGTTTGCTGTTTTAAGGAAGTGAGTTTTGGAGCAATTTGTTATAAAGGAAGAGATAACTTATACACTCCCTGCCCTCAAGGAGTGCACTCTCTAAAAGAGCTGACAAATACATAGATTGATATATATTATATTCAGAAATGGAAGTGCTAATAGGAAAACTAAAGTAGGGTAGGGAATAAGGAGCTGGGCAAGTCACTATCCTCCTCTGAGTCTGTTTCATTCTATCAACTTCTGTGTAATGCCATGGACTGACTACCTGATGTAAATGCTTTCAAGATTGCATGAGGAACAGTGTGTAAATTGCTTTGAGTTTAGGTTTCCTGTTTTATACAATGGGGGTCCTAAATACACCAACTGAGTAATTATTTGAATTAAATGACATATTAAATGACAAAGGTCATAAACTGGTGGTGTGTTGAATGCAGCCAGCAGAAACAGTCCCTATTTTGTGTACTATTTTAAAATATCTATTAAGTAACTCCTGTGTGTTAGGCACTGGGTTAGACATTGCGATGTTATTTTGCCCTTCCCCTGGTGAAGTAAAACCTGCCACTATACTAAATAATTGATATATTTGGATAGGACATTAATATGAGAATCCAGACTTGTAAATATCCCCTATCCCATCCTGTAGATTAAGAATACTCAAGATAATTATCCTTACTAATCATTTTTTGAACAAATAGTAACAGAATATGGGTACTTTTACAGAATCATAGTGGTAATATGCTTTCCCCCAATGGATTACCAGCAAATGCTGAAGGTCTCAGACCAAAATTGATGTTAGAAAATTGTGAAATTCAGCCAGATGCAGATAACCTAGAATCATAGACTGCTAAAATGACAAGGGACCTTAGAGATACAATCCAATATAAAAAAATATAATTTATACATTAAATTATAAATAGTGTCACTTTCCTGCTTCAAGCTCTCCAATGGCTTCCCAGTGGATTTCACTCTAATTGCAAATTTTATGTGATGATCTATAGGATCCTACATGATTTAGCCCCTGCCAGTCTCTCCAGTTTCATTTCCTACTACTTTCTCCTTCATTTACCACACTCAGCCACACCAGCCTTCCTTTTAACCTTTGAACATATCCAGTTCATTCCCAACTCAGGGCCTTTGTACCTGTTCCCTCTTTTTGAAATGTTTTTTCTCTCAGATCTTCATCACCTTCTTCTCATCATTCAGATCTCTGCTCAAATATCACCTACCCACAGCCTTGTCCTGGCTATCCTGGCTGAAGTAGTTCCCTACTATCATTTCCAAGTCACTGTCTCAGGCTCTATTTATGTCTTAATAGCATTTAATTCTATCTGAAATTATATTGTTTATTATTTGTGTGTTTATTGTCTGTCTCCCTCAACTAGAATGTAGTCTCCAGGAGAACAGGGACTATGTTTGTCTTGCTCACCACTATATCCCTACCACCTAACACTGACACAGGAAAGTTTCCAATAAATACCTAAATGAATATCTGTTGAGTACATGAACATACAAACACAGTAAGGGTCTCTAATACTCCCATGAGCCATATGAATCTTGAAAAAGCTCCAAAACAGTGACGAACTTCTATAGAACATTAGGACTGGGAGGCCCACTGCCTGGCTTCAGACAGTTGTGTGAAAACAAACACAAGAACTTCTGTAGATAAACAGAGACAACAGACTACTTCATAAAGTTGTGCATTCATTCAATAAATAATCTGCTGTGGATAAAGTGATAAGATGCACATGGCCCTGCCTTCATGGAACTTACAGTCTACTGGGGCAGACAGGCATTAAAAGCAATTACAATAAAATGTAACAAATATAAATGTGATATAGCCACACAATGGAGTATCACCCAGCCATAAAAAGGAACACACTGATACGTACTAAGACATGAATGAACCTTGAAACATTGTGGTAAGTGAAAGGAGCCAGTCAAAAAGATCACATATTGTATGATTCCATTTATATGAGATATCTAGAATATGCAAATCTAAAGAGTTAGAAAAGTAGGTTAGTGGTTTCTTAGGACTGGGAGTGAGGGAACAGGGAGGTGATAACTAAAAAGTATGAGGTTTCTTTTTGAATTCATGAAAATGTTCTAAAATCAACTGTGGTGATGATGGTCACACAAATCTGTGAATATACCAAAAGCCACTTTGAATAGGTAAATTTTACAATATGTAAATTAGTCCTCAAAAAAGATGTTTTTAAATAATAAAATAAATGTTGTCAGAGTAAGTACAAGAAACTGTGTACACAGAACCTAGTTCATCAGTCAGGGAAGGCCTTTAGGAGAAAGTAACAAGCTCTGAAGAATGAATAGGAACTAGCTAAGTGAAAAGGATATATAGGGTAGGGTGGGGGCATCTAACAAAGTATATGGCATGGATGAAAATTTGGGAATGAAGGAAAGTCTACCAGTGGAAATTGTATAGTACATCTGGAATGTAGAATAAAGGTAGCAGTGATAAGGCTGTAGAAGTAAAAAGGGGCCAAATCATATAGAGCCTTGGGTCAATGAGAAGCCATTCAAGGGTTTTAAGACAGGAGTAACAGGGTAAGATTTGCAGCTGTTGGTTTCTATGGCAGAAATGAATGCAGAACTCCATTCACTAGTGCTCTGGGACTCTCGCTGATGAAGTAATAAAGCAAGATGCTATTATGTACAATGACAATATAGAGCAATCAGTATAAAGAACTTTAACAGCAAGTAAATGAATGAGAGAGTGAATATAGGTAAAGGTTACTGCCAACATGAAAATGTGTTTCTGACAATATAACACAGCATGGTGGTTTTAAGTTTAAACTTTTGAATCAGACTCTGGTTTAAGTCCCAGATTTGCTTCTTATTAGGTGTATAATCTTGGGTACTTAGCCACTCCCACCCAAGTTCCCTTGTTTATAAAATGGAAAACATATCTACTCCATAGGGTTGCTGTGAGCTAAAAGATAGACTATAGTGTGTGGCACATAATAAGCATTCACTAAATGCTAGCTATTACTCTATTATTGTACGTTCTATCTCCTGTTAGCCAACCTTCTTGAAAGAGTATTTTACACTTGTCTATTTACCCTTGATTCCTATGTGTTTACCTGTCTCTGTTAGAATTAAAGTGTCATGACAAAGGCCAAAACTTTTCTGTTCACCAAACTAGAACAGCACCTGGCACATAAGACTTAAACATTTTTGTACTGGATGAATGAATAATTAAACACACTCCTCATGCACATCAATCTAGCTTTTGCAAACATCATTCCAGCAAACCTCCTCTAGAAAATATCAAATCCAACAGATAGTTTGTAGTCCTTATATTGGACCTCTCTATTCCAGTTGGCATTAAATAACTACTCATCTCTTCTTCAAACTCATTACTCCCTTGGCTTCCATGGCTCTTCTAAGTTTCCTCATATCTTTTGACTGTTATCTTTCGGTGTCTCTCCTAGGTTTCCCACCTGCCAACCCTTAGCAATTGGTATTCCTCAGAGTTATTTCCTTGGCCCTCCCTTTCTCTCTCTCTATACCAGCGATTGTCAAGTGGAAGGGTAAGCATGTCAGAAATAGCAAAGAGGGGCTTTTACCAAACTCTACTTCCCAAAGTCTGAGAATCATTTCCTCTGTGAATCACTATTAATGGAAGGAATGCATAATACTTTAGTGTGCTAGAAAGGCAAAAATGATGTGAACTCCTCTACGTTCTCTCCTTGGTCTCTCCCTCCACAGTTATGTAACACCTGTACACTACTGATTCCCCAGGCTCCTATCTATATCCCTAAACTCTCCCCTGAGTTAAGACTAAGGTCTCCAAATATATCCACTGCATGTTCCTCATGCATTTCAAACTAAGTATCCAAAACTGTACTGTCTCCCCCCCCCACCCCGCCCAAAAAAACCTGTTTTTCCTGTGATAACTGTGTCAATGGGAATCACCACATAGTCACCAAAACAAAGAACTGGGAACTTATCTCTGACACTTCCTTTCTCCCACACCTCTCCACACCTAGTCAAGCAAATCCTATTGACTTTATCAACTAAATTATTCTCAACTCTATCCTATCTTCTGCATCCCCACTACAGTGCTCAAATTCAGGCTTTATTGCCTCTATCTTAGATTACTAACAGCTTTCTAATCAGCTTCCCTATCTCTAGGTCATTGTTTCTCAAAGTGTAGTATCCAGAGTCTCAGTATTGCCTGAGAACTGGTTAGAAACACAAATTCTCAAGTCCCTATTCAAGACCTGCTGAATCAGAATCTGGTGATGGGCCCCAGCCATGTGCATTTGAATAAGCCCTCCAGGTGATTCCGAGGCAAGTTAATGCCTTAAGAACCACTGCTCCAGGCTTACCCCTTAGATAAATGGCTTTTCAACCTTAGGTGAACACTGCAATCACCTGAGGACTTTTAAAAATACTTTCAACCTAGGTCCCTTACCCCCATAAGTTCTGAGTTCATTGGTCTACAGTAGACACAGGAGCTGTGAAAGTTTCCCCAGGTGGCTCCAATGCACCTGAGAACCACTGTCTTACAAACCCAAAGTGATCTAAAATACAAATCTGACCTGATTAAGATCTTTCAATAGCTCCCCATCAAGTTAAAAAAAAACCCAAGTACCTCAGCATAGCATTCAATATCCTTTATAACCTATTTAACCCCTTAGCCATCAACATAAGAAAGGCACTACAGTGTAAAAGTTAAGAATGTTAGTTTGAAGCCAAATGGTCTGAGCTGAAACCCCACTAGCTGCAAAATTTGGGGCAGGTTAGTTAATCTCTAAGTGCTTTAGTATCTACCACATGGGGTAATGATGAGGATTAAGTGAATGAATACATGTAAGTCTTATTAGGACAGTTTCTGATACAAAGTAAAACACTCAACACATGTGAGTTATTCAAGATGCCACCATCTACAGGGAGCCTATCCTAAACTTCCAAATTAGACTAGAATTTCCTTCCATAGGTCCCTGAGTTTATCAGGTTTACCAGGCTGTGCTGATTATCTGTTTGTACACCTGCAGTATACTGTAATTTCTCTGTATCTACTAAAATGGTTCCTGTTAGATAATAAATGGTTGTTAAACTAAACTGACAACACAGAGAAACCATATGGAAATGTCATATTTTGGCCCCAAATTTGCTTTTTGTAGAAGGATGATCACCAGTGATTACACAACACATTTATGATATTCAGTTTCCTACAAACAGCATCGCAGAAACTTTCAAAGGCAAAGTGTAAGCAACAGCACAATAATGAACTGAAATGGAGTACCAGATTTTCTATTACAGGGTCTCTGTCTTACCTGAAGCAGGTAAATGTGGGATATCTTAAGTCCCTTCTATCTGTCAATAATTCTACATGGTGCTATCAATAAAAGTATCCTGCAGTCTCAAGTATTCAAACTGGAATGATAATATTAAGGACCACTGCATATCAGCAGATTGCCAAGGAGACAGCTTTTATAACTGGAACTTATTCTGAGAGGCTATTAAAAATATACATAATGATTCTTCCATCTTCAAAATGATACATAGCAACCAAGAATAAGGACTGAAAGAATGCCTGAGACATCTAAGAAAATCAAAAATGCAAACCAAGCCTACAGCGTGCATACCTTTAAAATACCATCCAAAGTACCCTTGTAAAGGTCCACATGTCCCACGATTGCCCTCTGGTTCATCATGCGAGTTCGAACCACATCAACTGGATTGGAAGCCAGAGCACCAGCCAAGCCGCATGTAAAGCTGGAACTAAAAATGAAAACTTTAAGATAAACCACCTCACTTCCAACCCTGACTAAACAGAAATTACGCCAAACATAAATTCATAACTGTATGATGAGTCAGACTCATCAGATAAAACTTGGCACTTGCCCTTTCATTACAATCTAAAGAGAGAGGAAATGTGTTCTAAAGAAATATCATTCAAAAGGTATCCCTGTGGGGCACCTGGCTGGCTCAGTCCGTAGAGCATGTGACTCTTGATCTCAGGGAGTAAGTTCAAGCCCCATACTGAGTGTAGAGATTACTTAAAAATAAAATCCTTTAAAAAGTATTATGCCCTTCACTTTTCAATCCAAAACTTAGCCTTTGGTAGGGGGCGGGGGGGGGGTGCAATTTAGAAGTCTAGCAGGATCCCTAAGCAGAAACTAACACACATCATCTATTAGATATATAAGTTTTCATACCACAGCATCATATACCAAATGCGGTATACTTTGAGCGGTAAAGTATCATAAAAGTTCCAATATGAAGAGAATGTAGGATAAGGCTAGCAACAGTCTTTAGCCCAAAACTGTAGTTTTGTTTCACAGGCCCTATAAATTTTCACTTTTTTCTGATTCTCATTGAGAAAAGTTTGCTTTCTGATCCAAACTTAACCAAAGAAAATAACAGATAAAATTAGATATAGAGGCTGTGTATGAACAAATGCAAATCCTAGACATCTGATAGGCTGTTGTATTAGACACTGCTACCAAGTACAGTGGTAGTACAGTATCTACAGTATCTACCCACAGTACAGTATCTACCCACAGCATCTAGGATCTCTGTACAAGTATTAGAAGGCTTGAAGTTCTGGAGATAAGACAGAGAGGAGTATCTAGACCATCTGTACCCATTATTGATTCTACATGAGGACCTCAGTGAAAGATGCTTTTTGTGCTTAAAATAATGGAAATATGGAATAAGCACAGCCTATAATACTTACACAAAGTGAGTTAAAATTGTGTCTCCCATCACCCCTGACAATATTAAGTGCTTCTTTGTAATATCATAGACTGGTAACTCCACGCCCACAACAATGGCAGCCCGCTGAGCAGTTGGGACAACACCCTGCAATATGTAAGTGATATTACACACCAAAGAAATACACAGGTTAGTGACATAAATTGTAAAAAAAGTGAACAAGGGGCACCTGGGTGGCTCAGTCTGTTAAGTGTCCAACTCTTGATTTAGGCTCAGGTCATGATCTCATGAATTGGATTGTGAGATCGAGCCCCACGTTCAGCTCTGTGCAGACAGTGCAGAGCTTGCTTGGGAGTCCCTCTCTCTCTGTCCCTCCCATGTGCACATTCTCTCTCTCTCAAAATAAACATTAAAATATGAGAGAGGAGCACCTAGATGGCTCAGTCACTAAGTATCTGACTTCGGCTCAGGTCATGATCTCGTGGTTCATGAGTTTGAGCTCCACATTGGGTGAGCTCACGCCCCGCTTCGGGTGAGCACGAGCCCCATTCCAGGTGAGCCCTTCTCTCTCTCTGTCTCTCTCTACCCCCCCACTCTGCCCCTTGTGGGATTCTCTCTCTCTGCCTCTCGCTCACTTGAGCCCCCTCTCTCTCAAAAAAAAGTATGATTTAAAAAACAAATAAATAAAAATAAAACAGAACAAAACAGGTTGGGAGTTGCAAAGTGACATAAAAATCCAAGTCTGGGGGCACCTGGGTGGCTCAGTCAGTTAAGTGTCCGACTTCGGCTCAAGGTCATGATCTCAAGGTTCCTGAGTTCGAGCCCTGCACTGGGCTCTCTGCTGTCAGCGCAGAACTCGCTTTGGATCCTCAGGCTCCCTCCCTCTCTGCCTCTCCCCAGTTCTCATGCATACATGCTCACTCTCTCTTTCAAAAATAAACAAATATTAAAAAAATAAAATAGGGACTCCTGGGTGGCTCAGTCAGTTGAGCATCCAACTTCGGTTTAGGTCATGATCTTGCAGTTCGTGAGTTTCAGCCCCACATGGGGCTCGCAGCTGTCAATGTGGAGCCTGTTTCTGATCATCTGTCCCTCTCTGCCCCTCCCTTGCTCATACTCTCTCTCTCTCAAAAATAAACATTTTAAAAAATAAAATGTCATTTACATTTGAAAATAACATATCACGGGGACAAGTGCTTTCTGGGATACCTGTTATAAACTGCTCATTTATAAACTCCCAAATTCAACTCATAAAGTGTAAGTGACGTAGCTGTGCTATCATCAGAAGATGTCTAATTCTGCTGCTCAGGCTGGCTGGCCCAACAGTGCCTTCCTCTCGGACACTTCCACCTGCTCAACAGTGTTAGAAGATGATCTTCAGAGAAGACTACCTTGCTGAACAGTAACGCCCCAAATTGGAGCCCATGGGCCAAATTCAGGCAACAGACATGTTGTGTGTGGCCTACACAGTGTTTCTAGAAGGCCGAATTAGCTGTCAGTGTATAAAAAACAGGATACTTCCCATAGGAATGCAGATTTTCAGCTTCTCTTGAAATCCCAAACACTTTGGCCACACTGGACTCCCATCATGCAAGACAACAATGAATAGGGTCCACACTGCTTTCCAGTTCACCAGGGTCCCCATCACTCTCTACCATGTCTCCAACTCTTTCACTTGTGCTGTTATTTCTTACAATGAAGTTAGAAAATAAAATGCTTCCAGTACTCATGTGACAATTAAAGCAGGAAAATAAAACAATGACAAAGGAGACCATGTGTTTGAAGAAAAATGTAAACCTATTTCCATGTTGAAATGAAAAAATATTCCTGTATTTTTTTTTTAAGTTTATTTTGAGAGAGACAAAGAGCGTGTGAGTGGGGGAGGGGTAGAGTGAGGGGGACAGAGGATCCAAAGCAGGCTCTGTGCTGACAGCAGAGAGCCTGATGCAGGGCTCAAACTCACGAACCTCAAGATCATGACCTGAGCTGAAGTCAGATGCTTAACCAACTGAGCCACCCAGGCACCCCTATTCCTATATTTTAATATGCAAATAAGACACGTCTGTGTCAAAAGAGTACATAACACAATGTACTTCACTTCTTTATCTTACATGCCTGGACGATTTAAGCAGCCTGGATCATGAAAGTAGCTATGTTCCATTCCTCAAAACATTAAACATAGAATTACCATGTGATCCAGCAATCTCGCTTCTGGGTATACACACAAAAGAACTGAAATCAGAGTCTTGAAGAGATATTTTCACACCCATATTCAGAGTAGCATTATTCACAAAAGCCAAGATACAGAAACAACTTAAATGCCCATTAACAGATGAACAGATAAATAAAATGTGGTATATAGATACAATGGAGTATTGTTCAGCCTTAAAAAGGAAGGATATTCTGACAAGTGACAACATGAGTGAACGTGGAACAAATTATGCTAAGTAAAATAAGCCAGTAACAAAATAAAAATACTGTATGATTCCACTTACATGAGGTATCCAGAATAGTCAAATTCATAAGAGACAGATAGAAGGATGGTCACCAGGGGGAGGGGAAAATGGGGAGTTGTTTAATGGGTACAGAGTTTCAGTTTTGCAAGAAAAAAGAAATCTAGAGACTAACTGTACAACAATGTAAATGTACTTACCACTACTGAACTGTACATTTAAAAATGTTTAAGATGCTAAGTTTTATGTTACGTGTATTTTACCACAATTAAAATTTTTAACTAAAAATAAAGTAGCTATGTTTTGACAAAAACTCCCTATTGTCATTCCTGCTTTGTCTTTCCCTTAGCATTAGTTTGTGAAAATATCTAGTTAGGTCCATTTTCTGGTTTTAAATTAGACTAATCAAGAAAGTGCACCCTGTTATCAAAAACCAAACCTCAAGGATCATTAATGGATGCTAAGACCATTAAGTGAAAGGTTATTAAGTAACAGGATATATGCATGTTGCTAGAGTATTACCCTACAGGTTACCTGCTAATTACAAAGGGGGAAAAATTTTTATCTCTTACAATGGTGAGATCTGGTGGACATCATCTTACCAAATAATCAAACTTGGCATCATTAATTGTGGGACAAAGTAATATGTGCTTCTTGCTTTGATACAATATGAAATATACAGTGTAACCTATGAAGTTCTCTTACCAAAATGTTTAATGTGAATCTAATCAAGTCAACAAACCTAACTTCCAGTTTGAAGGAAATACAGGGGAAACATTCTATAAGAAAACTGGCCTGGTCTCATCAATAAGGAAAATTTGAATACAGACTGGATGTTAGGTATTAAGGACTTGTTAATTTTCTTAGGTGTGATAATAATATCATTATTATGTATTATTATATAGGAGAATGTCCTTATTTCTTAGGAGATGCATAACGAACTATTTAGGAGAGTACCATGATGTCTGCAACTTCCTTTCAAATAAGTTAGCAAAAAAAAAAAAAAAAAAGAATGTGTGTGTATGTTTATCTGTGTACACACATATAAACAGATAAAGCATATATGGCCAGATGTTAACAGTCATTTAATCTGGGTATATAAGGTGTTCACTGTTCTGTTCTTTCAACTTTTCTGTATGTTTAAAATTTTTATAGGAAGTTGGGGAAAAATATGAAGGAAGAAAAAAAAACACAAAGCTCTCTTCTTTAAGAGCCTATTTATTAATGGATTTCCCATTCTACTATCTGTGTATGTTCTACAAGTAGTCTTATTAAGTGATTAAAATAAGATAAGTTATAGGAACAAAAACAAAAACAGGAGTAGATAGAAGACTGGAAGATTAAATGGCAAAATGTTAACAGTGATTATCTCTAGTTAATAATACTGGATTTTTTTCCTTTATAGATCTCAATATTTTTAGTACAATTTTTACTTTTTATAAGGTTAAGAATAGCTGTTTTAGGTAATCAGAGACTATCACAAACATATAGTGCAGTGTTAGTACAAAACTGGCAAAAATATGTATTGAAGAATTAAATTCACTGTGAATTTAAACAAATCAAAATGACTACCTCAAGTAATGTCATTAACTTCTCTCACACAAACATCCCCAAACATTAAGCAGAAATAAAGAAACTGGTAAGTTTTGGTCCTTTCATAGGTGATAAGAAAGTTTCTTACCTTATGTTCTGGGTTACAAAAAATTACACAGCGTAAGATGACAATTCATAATTTTATGGCTTCGTATAAGAAGTATTCTTTGCAAATTTATAGGAAAGCTGCATAAAGAGTACTTACCCTCCACAGACCCCTGGCACCTTCTTGTTGGTATATATCGATGAAGCTGCCAATCATGCTGCCTTGGAATAGACTTCCTTGAGCCTGCATTCGAATCTAAAGTAAGAAGGGGTGAACATTTTGTTTTAACAGAGACCAAAATGAGAGGTTTCACTCATTTAAAATTAAGAAAACAGTATTTGGGAATTCTCAGAAATGTTACCCTGCTATTCTGATGAAATTAATGACAAACTATATATTTTAGAAGTGTAATTTGTGTAAAAGTATGTCTTATAAAAATGATTTTCATCAGGGGTGCCTGGGTGGCTCAGTTGGTTAAGTGTCAGACTTCAGCTCAGGTCATGATCTCGCGGTTTGTGAGTTCCAGCCCTGTGTTGGGCTCTGTGCTAACAGCTCAGAGCCTGGAACCTGCTTCAGATTCTGTGTCTCCCCCTCTCTCTGTGTCTCCCATGCTCATGCTCTGTCTCTCAATAATAAATAAATGTTAAA